ACTTCTTGGGTTTTAGCAGTTTAGCAGGGTTTTAGCAGATCCCAGGAACTCATCAAACTGGTCTTGAAAGTTGGATTTAAAAAAACATAGCTGAGTTGACTTTTGACATGAAGCACATTGGGCTGAATTTGTCAATGCCTTTGAGAATTTTGAATGTTTGAATCTGGTCTCCCTTGTAGTAGTCTTTTTTTTAAGACTAGACAAGTTCAGTTCCTTTAGCCAGTCAGTGCAGAACATTCGTTAGAATGTATTTGATTGATCTTCTTTGGATCGATTCCAAGCACCAATATCTTTTCTTTAACACGGTAATCAAACTGTAACAACATAACTGGGCGTTTTGTTACACGCCTACAATATGATACCCTCTGCGTGATTATGAAACGGCCAGAAGAGGCCATAAATATGCAGATACAGTGCATTGAAAAGCATTCAGACCCTTGCACAGTTTCCATATTCTGTTGCTTTAAACTTGCATTCATGAATATTTGAAGTAGGAATTAATGTGACAATCGCAACATACTTTCCACTTTTAAACAGAAAACAAAAAGAAGTAAACAGATCATCCATCCATTTTCTAACCACTTCTGACCAATACAGGATCAGGGTGGCGCCAGGGTCTACCCCAGCAAGCAACAGACACGAGGCCTGGACAAAACCCCTGGCCATCGCAGGATAGTAAACGGATGACATGAAGCACATTGGGCTGAATTTGTCTACACCTTTGAGAATTTTGAATGTTTGAATCTGGTTAAAGAAAATTGAAAAATTCCTGATTGTACTAGGAATCAAACCCTGATTATTTTAGGTGCACAAAATTAGCTTAACTGCAACACAACGAGTTGAGTGGTGTGTATCTGTGTAAAATATTAGTGTTTCACATAATTTCATAATAAATGCCTAAATCTCTCCCATGTCCCTCAGTCAGGTAGTGAATTTAAGGCAAAGACTCAACCATGGGATAAAGCTGTATAAAGGCACTGATCAGAAGAAAGATGTAAAGCATCTCAAGGACACTTAATATCTCTAGAATTAATATATTTTGTGATTTCAAGTATTTCAGAAAAAAGGCCTTCAAAAAGAATGCAAAATACATAGGTCAAGGTATGTGTTAGTACATTTTAAAAAAAAATCACTCCAGCACAACAGCAGAAGAAAGCTCACCTCATCTGCTTGACTTTCCAACCAACTACTGGAGTCACTGCAAGGACTTCTGAAGAAAATAAATCCTGCTTTTCCAAATTAAAGAGACAGCTCAGGGAAAATGCTAACAACAACTGCTGACCTAGTCTGCAAATGATAACATAAAAGATCATGCTCCTGACAATCAGTCGATAACTTCCAAAAATAAAAGATGCATGATACTCTAACATAATTTAAAATATTCGCCAATTTATCAGCTCTAAATTAAAAAAAAAAACTGTTCCAGGACAATGCAACTGGGATTACAGAAGCACAACAGGAATTCTAGTGTTTGATTTATGTAACACTCTGAAGGCTGAAAGGACAACTATTATGCTTAAAATATATACGTTTTCAAAGCCTTGGGTGAAGACTTAACAAGAACGTCTTTTAAAAATCCACCGCTGCAATACCAGATGTCAAGGCCAGTTTAGGAGCATCAAAGCTTGTGTATTTACCACGCATTATAGCAGCTCTGTTTAAAAGGTGCCTAGATAGCAGCAACAACCACGCGGAGCACTTTCCTTTACATCTCAATGAGAAAAGGCTTCAATGCTGCTTTGCTTTGTGTCTCACATTAAAAAACAATGCACTGATGTCAGTTACATACATTCCCTATGGCACCTTAAACCAAGGAAAGCATGAGAACTTACTTCAAACTTGGAACATGCAACATAATCCAATCCCTGAAGAGGCTATTCTGCGCTCACAAAGGCAAGGCACAAGCCAAAAGAAACTATCATCATATAATGCAGCACACTAGAGAAACCTTGTGTTAGCAGCAGTCTTTTGCCTTTAACATTAAAGCACACGCTGTACAACTAGATTCAAAGAGACCACCAAATTAGTCATCTTCTCATGAAAAATAATTTTGATGTACAGTACATGTGTTGCAATTAAAATCTGGAGATAACTACTTCTTACAAGCACTGATACAGGGCTCCACTTAACAAAGTAACTTTAGTCAGAAAAAGGGATTTTCCTTTAGTTTTAGAAGCTCTGAGAATACATTCATTTTAATTGAGCAATATATGTTAAAATTACCTGGGTCACTGTATTCTAGCACATACAAAACTTGTACAAAAACCTACAACCTCATCAAGAAGTGGCATTAAACTATTCTGTTACACCAACACTTTTCTATCTTGAGTTTCAGACTTACATTTTTATTTTACTTTATGTGCCACCATCTGTTCTCATTGCATTTAAGGTGAAAATGAAAACACTGAAGAATGTAAGTTTTACATTTTGCGATCATAGGAAAAGACGCACAATGCAGCTAAACTTACCTAAAATCATTAACATATCTCACCTGTATGACCATGGCTTCTCACTAAGGTAAATTAATGGTTTATTTAAACTGTTTACAAGAACGACAAGTAACTTTAACCATAAGCTTTCAGGTTATTCAATAATGCACAAAAGAACTAGACATCTACATACTTTATCTAATGTCAAACTACAGGTCCATAATAAAACAAACATTACATTGAAGTTTAATCACTTATAGTATCTCCATGTCTATTCTTAAGGCACACAAGTTCATCTGTAATTATCCTTTCCCAGAATTAGCATTCACATAATTTATTTTAATCCATCTATGAGCATTTTCTTTTCTAAAAAAATATTACAAGATGCATTCACTTAACATACTCGTGTACATAAAATTACGCCTCATATTCTTTGAATCCCCCAGCAACAGTTAGCTCTTCATTAAATTGTCACCCATACTAGATATTGAAGCCAATTCCTTGGCTTCTTTCAGAAAACGGCTGGATCAGTTAGCTAAAAACTACTAAATGGGCTAGACAGGCCAAATGAATTCCGGAAACATTCTTATGTCCTTATAGCAGGCTCCTATGTTCTCTTAATCAAAATATGTAACATTCCCCTAAGCTGTTACGCTGTGCTAGCTATTCAACTGCAGGCTTGGGGAGTCACTGCGGTTAAGCAAATCAAAACAAGATTATCCTCCCTTTCTCTCTGGTGGGAATTACAGCACTAGCCTAGTGTTCCCTACAACTCCACAGGCAAGATTCCAAACATCATGTGACCACAGCATGCGGCGCTGACCCGGTCACATCCACCACCACAACACGCGCTGAAACCACATCGGTGTTTTCCTAGTGCGGTCAACCTTTCTGAGCAGAAAAACGGACAAGACCTCAATGATTATATTTAATTTCCTTTTCTCGCTGCAAGAATGATCTCTACGTCTATGCAGAAGCTAATCTTTTAAACAAAAGGTCCTGTATACTTTATAAAATGTATAAAGTCACAATTCTGGAACTGTCATAGACATACAGTTTTCATTGTATTCAGCATACTGCATTACTTGTATATATTGCACACACCATGGACACATAGCAGCCCTATTCCTATTGAGTTTTATTCGATTTCTATGTAACCTTATTATGTAACCTTATTTTCGTAACCTTAATTTTGTGATTTTTGTGTTTTTGTAATACTTGTGATCTTTGTGAGCTTGCAGAACAGACATTTCATTGCCAGCAACTACTGCTGCACGCCGTATTGTTGTGCATTTGATAAATACACTTTGATTTGATTTGATCTGTTCCCTCCTTAATTCATAATCATGGCACTGTGATTTTAAAGTAAAAAAAAAAAGGTGAACTCTAATGTTAAGCTGCGGAGCTGAATAATAAGCTCTTCTATAATTACCTGATCAGAAAAAAAGGCTGGATGCAGAATTAGTTGCACAAAAGGACAGGATAGAAAAGTCAACTTTCATTAATGAGGGAACAACAGAAGAAAAAAAAATTAAAGTGGCATTAAAATAATCATTGTAATAGTCAAGAGTTCATGAATCGACCTGAAGGTCTGAATATAAGCAAAATGCTTTACTAATTTATAATTTAACAGCTGTCAAAAGAAGAAATTATTTTTTGTTCTTCCCTTCTTATAGTGCCAAATAACCCAGATCAGATCTCAGCCCACTTCCACATCAGCAGTCTCTGCTGAACCAGGATTTCCACAACATACAAGGGCACCACATGGACAAAGAGTGCAGTTTAGGATTTTTTTTGTTAATGCACCTTCTAATATTGTTTTAAAAAAAAAACACTGGAGCCAAACAACAGCTTTACTTCCTGAGCAGAAAAAAAAACACACATCAAGAAAATCTAATTTGCAATTTCAGTGTCTGGAAAATGGAAATGTCTCTAGAGTTTCAACAAAAGATGGGGGGGTGGGGGTGTAATGGCATGCTTTTATGCTTTCAGGCTACGATTTATTTATTTTTTATTTTGCTGCAGGGTATGTTTTGAGAAATCTGAATATGCTCAAATTCTTTTCAAAAGAATAACAAAGAGGTCCTCGTTTGGGGGTACTTTCATGTGAAGCCGTGGTCCCTGCTCGGAGAATCGGCACTTTCCCTTGTGCAGATAGAAGTGAATAAAGGGCAGGAGTCCCCAGGCTGAGGGACTTCTGCCCCTTGACTTCAGTGTTGTCTGGAGCCCCAAGGTCATTATTTATCCTGACGCTCCTAAAAACACTGTCACTCAGCATCTTGTCAAGAGTTTTTTTATCCCTTTTCCTTTCTCTGTAGGTTGTCATTGTGGAAACCAGGATGGAAAATGCCCCCCCCCGAAGGCTGATACAATGAGACGTCTAAGCCCACTGGAGTGCCCATGTACATTTGTCAGAGCCTCCTGTAGTGATCACTTCCCTGACAGACATCTATGGCATTATTGCACACAAGTGAACACAGGCTGTGAGAACAAATTATTGATTTTTTTTCTCCCCCATCAATTTTGGTGGATCGAATTGCAAAGCTTTTTTTTTTAATATATGCAGAATACCTTCTGTGCTGCTTTTGGGAAGTCCCTTAGTAGAAAATGTCATTCCGTCTTGTTTCCTGAAGTAGTTGTCACTGAAGGGGAATCATCCTGAAATACCTTCTCTTTCCTGCAATGAAAAATGCAGAATCACAATTCAAGAACCTGAATGCATCCTAGCTACCTAATGCTTATTCAGGACTCCCCCCCAAAAAAAAACTGGAATGACACAGGATCCTTGTTTCAGGCAACTGGTAAGGGGCTATGTTTGATCTTGCAAAACAGTTGGATGTCCCTTTGGACACACAGAATAGCAAAGATAATTTCCTCACGTCGTGCCACCATTACGCAGTGTTCAAGCTACAGGAGAAGTATCACTACAGTGGAACCAGTCTAAAAGGCTGTCATTATACAAAGAGAAACACAAGCCATCTCACACCACTTTCATAACACACAATCACAAGGATTGAGATATGGACACTTTCTGAACATGGTACAAGGTGTTAACCTCTTCTCCAATAATTCATTAAAACAGAATGGTGGGTTTGTCAGCCAGGAGTGAATTTGGACTACCAGAGCGTGTGCCCTGACTGCTCAAACACCAATTAGACTGTCCAGGACCAACATGAATAAGTAAATCAGCACATTTCAGATTTCCCTAAAGATCAGTCTCTAAAGAGCCCACTAAATTTTAAAGACCACGCATGTTGAGTGTTCATTGGGTTGAATGTGATAGACACAGATTTAAATAATAATAATAATAATAATAATAATAATAATTAGTATTTGCTTAAACTTATATAGCGCTTTTCTGGACACTCCACTCAAAGCACTTTACTTTATGGATGGATATGATATGGATGGATATGATAAAGATAACAAAATGCAGTTGATTTTCCTTGAGTGCTTTGAAAAAGTGTTTATCTACTAACCGCCACCAATGTGCAGCATCCACCCGCTATTCCATTAAAATATTTGATTGTTTGATTCGTGAACTTCAGTTGATAAATCGATAGGTTAATCTGTGCATTCAAAAGATCACACAGTAAGAATGACGAATTATCAGTAGCCAAAGAAAGTAAAAACATCATATTTAATTTTTATCCCACCTCGCACCTGTTGCTTGCTGGGATGGGCTGTGGCCCCCCCGCGATCCTGAATTAGGAGAACCCATTAGAAAACGGATGGATGTTAGGAGAAGTGATTCAGGTGGTGAATATTAGGAATTATATTGTTAAAGTGAACCCAGAGTGATTACAGTGACACATTTGTAAAAAAGTGCTTTTAATAGCACTTACTTACAGAAAGGGTAGTGTATGTCTGGGACAACCTGCCCAGCTTATTCAAACACCTATTGTTTTCCCTGTATTGGATGAAGCATTAGAAAATGGACAATTTCGCAATCCAGCTCCAATAAGAAAATTACATTACATATAACCTTCAGGAAGTCCATCCATCCCTTTTCTGACCTCCTCTTCCAATTCAGGGCCGCAGACGAGCCAGAGCCTATCCCAGCAAGCAACGGGCACAGGCAGGGTACACCCTGGACAGGACTCCAGTCCATCACAGGGCATAGAGATGCAGACATGAACACGCACACAGCAGGGCCAGTTTTACCCAGTTAAGCCAATTAACCTACCAGCATGTTTTTGGACTGTGGGATGAAACCAGAGCACCTGGAGGAAACCCATGAGAGCCATGAGGAGAACATACAAACTCCAAACCGATAGCACTCCAAGTCCAGAATTGAACTGATGCCCCAGTGCTGCAGGGGGGTAATGCTAACCACTGTGCAACTGTGCCTAATTTCAACCCAAAACCACTGCTGAGATTTAAATGAAATGGCTTGTAACAACCCATTCCGTCTTTAAATATGTAAATATTTTATTGGATGTACTTTGCATAAACAGGAGGTGATTTTTCTCACTCGTTGGCTACTTTTGAATGGAAAAAGTTGCATGATTACTTTCTGAAAACAACAATCTTCGATCAGTTCTTTAGTTCATTACTCAATTTAATTAATATAATTAATTTATACAAAAATAATAAGTTCAAATCAACACACACACGGGTCTCAGCCAAATATCAAAATATTAAAATAACATGGTGATCAATAAAACATCACCCCTGTTAACTGTTATTTCACAGTGCAATAAACATGTTTCCTTCAAAAGAAATTCTGCTGATTTAGCCTAGTTCAGAAGCATGCTGCTCAAGTGGAGTTAATAAATGAAGAGCAAGTTAAAATTTCAAAAGGGGGGCCTGGTGGACATCCTTTGAGCTGCCCTACTAGTTGACTGTCTCTGTCTAAAGATAAGTGAAGGAAATTGCTGCGTCTTATTAATATTTCCATGTGCTGCAGCCCCACAAGCAATTCAGACGTTCTTTAAATAAATGTTTTAAGCCTGAACCGATGGATTATGTGTAGCAGACTTGTTTTGAATTCCAATTTTATACCTTAATCATACTTGGCTCACACTGGGGGGTGGAGTTCCAACACAATTTCCAGGCTCAGAGGTAGTACATGTGCTGGTGGAGAATGAGCGATGTAAAGAATGTGGGAGGAAGCAATACAAAGAGAAAGAAACAACAGTCAAGAACAAAGAATGCCGACCAATTATCCTGCAGAGAGCACAGAGGCAGCTAAGTTAAAGCAACGTTCGAAGAAGAGCTTCCATCTAGATTTCACACGAGAGAAAAGCTGTCTAAGAAACATGCAAATGCTGAAAGCATTATCGCTCTCCTTTAAATAAAACTGGAAATGACCACAAGACACAATGATGAACTTTAAGAATGTTAGTGTGAAGAGACGTGAAATGTACTGCAGCTCTCTTTCAAAAACACCAAGTTAAACCTGACCGTCTAAGGCATTTAAAAAAAAGCATCGAACAACAGGAAAGGAGAGTGAAAGCTATGGGCCATAGCACGCGCACTAGACCTTCGTGTGTTTTTAGGCAAAAACTTGCCTATGTGAACCCAGCCTTTTTTGCAGCATTATAGGAAAAAAATTGGTTAATAAAAGAGAAATGGGAAAACGTCCTCAGTGTAGATCACAGATGACTGGTGGCCAAAGAAGGAGTAAATTAGATTGGAACAGGCTGACAGTGAAGAATGGACACAGACTGAATCCTCCACAGGCGTTTTATTAATGATACTCATTGACCACCACGTCGGCTTCAGATTGAGCAGCTCAAGGTTAATCCATTCGATATTTTCTAATCTATTTCAAAACTGAAGATAATTATCCTCGTTAAAATCCCAAGATAATGCTGGCACAGTACTAGAGCTTAACCTTTACACTGACCCATACTGAATTTACCATACATTAAGGCAATGTTTGTTTTTTAAAGTCTATTGATACATTTACTGTTTTATTAATAGCTTCAGGAGAAGATCTGGTGTTGAACACATTAAAACTAGTAAGTTATACTTCAGTAAGAAAATTCCACACGGAGTTCAGGATTTTATCGTACTGAATAATGTATAAGATACTATTTTAAACCCCATATATGTGGGATGATCTAGTCCATGTGTTCAAGCTTGATTTGCATATTATTTTAAAATTATCACAGACAAGTTCTCACAAAGTGACACGGGATCTCTATTTGCCATAAAATCATTAGGCAGTGGTGAAAGCTAAATGAAAGTTTACGCAAAAATCAGTTCAAAGCTCTGATCAATTTAAAGTTCTGGTTTATATTCTTAACTGAATGCCCTGAACTGATTTTGCAAGTCAAGAACAAACTGCTGATCACAGATGTCAGCCATCAAATGCTTAATGTCATTTTATACATCATACTTCGGGCATTTTACACATGACAAAAGCTAGGAAAATGACTTGGGGGTGTGGTAAACGAGGGCGTCAGAAATGAATTCCTCTCGAATATGTGAACAGACATCACTGATAGGAGATTCACAATGTGCTTGGGCATGTGTTCAGGCACATTAAAGACTCCTCTGAAAGTTTTACCTGTGCTTACTAATTCCAAGAAAGGTGAAAAAAAAGCGCAGCACTTCAACCTGATCAGTATGGCGAAGAACAAAGGAAAAGTAGAGGGAGACGGCTTCATCAGGTTTATAGAGTTTGATACAAAAATGTTAAATGATTATGACAGGAAATTAACAGACTTCAACCACGTCTGTTAGGTAATAAAAAGCTCATTTAAAATGCTAAACAGGACTATAAAAATGTTCCATCCTCTTATGATTCAAAAATGGGCACAAATGCCAGCGTTTCTCCGTATGTCTCTCTTTTCCAAATGCAGATCTTTAATAAGAGTAGCTAGGCTACTTCAAAATGTTGGTGATGGATTTCATTTCCTCAGCATTCACAATTTGAATATGCCGATTCAAAAAAAAAACAAACATTAATTATGTATAAGATTTACCACCGAGATCTAAGAAGCCGAGATCACTGTGCTCCATGGATACCAACGGGCAATAAGTTGGTAACCTTTTCAGAAGAGAGCGGTCCCCAGCAGCCCGTCAGAATGATGATAACAGTTCTGGATATCCACTGATTCACCGTGGCACGCGCCCTGAGGACATGCCTGTAAATACCTTCATACTGTTCATTTACAGGATCACAGAGGCTGCGGCAGGGTAAGGGCTGCACATACAAATTGGTTAAATGTGTGATGGGATTCAGGGGAGACTGTCAACACTATCCCATTCCCTTCCCACAATGCCAAAGCCCCACATCTCTGAAACAAATGAGGAACGTGGACTATAAATCAAGTACTGTACTGTACATAGAGTGAAAAGCAAGCCATCCAAACGAGCTACATTCCTTCTTCAGTAACAGAGACAAAGAAGGGGCCCATTCTTGAAAACTGTCGTGATAATTTTACACAGTTGCATCATCTGCCTTGAGCTGAGCATTCATCGGGATTGTCCACAACTTTTCTGCCAGTACAACCGCCTGTCTCAGGAACCACCACCAAATCAATTTAGGAATTCACCGACACCACGCTGGGATTTCCCAAAATAAAAGTCCACATAAAAGTGTTCTTCCAGGTGGGAGCTATTACATATTGGTGGTGGTGGAGGGGAGTCCCCATTACCTGTGAAGTGCTGTGAGTGGAGTGTCCAGAAAAGTGCTATATAAGTGTAAATTATTATTATGATTATTGTTATTATTATTATTATACCAGGATACATATTTTCTAAGGCGTTAATGATACTTCAGACTGCAGAGCATTGTTGTACAGAATACAACTGTAGAACTCAAAACAGTACACAAATACCACAAGGAATTCAAACTGCAGAGTCAATCCTAATGTCCATTTCCATTTGCTCCCATGTGCTTGTCTGGATTCTAGTGACTGTAATGAAAAGGAGAGGGAGCAGCCCCGAGAGGCAAGGTGTTAAACTGTCTGGTCTGAGTGATTAATATTAAACAAAAACTGAAGTGACTGTGTCGTTAGCCACAAGAGATTACAAAGCATGTAATTCAGCTAGGGTTTCATATAGTTTATAGCTAAATTAAAAAAAAACTTGTTTGTTAAATTGCCAATTAACACAATAGAATGAGTACACTGCCTCTGAGAATATACGTCTACGTATATATAAAGTACTTCCTGTATGAAGTAAAACTGTGTTTTGTAGATAGATGGGATTGGTCCATCTGCAAAACTATTTTTTTTTTATTTACTAGTGAGGGAAAACGAATAAAAAACAAGAGCTGTGCCACAATCAAATTTCTGATGCTAGGTTTGAAATCCTTCCATCTTTAAATCCATATGTTAAGTTTAAGTAACAACTCCTCCGCCGTAGTCTAGTGTAAGAATTTTTAAGTTCCTTGACTTCTCTTTTAGCTTTTGTCTTGTGAAGTACATTGAGATCGACTGTGTGGAAATATGCTATATAAATTAAATGCATTGTTGTTATTATTACAAGTGTAAGGCGGATGACCTCACAGACACATGGAGCCATGCAGAGGTCACAGGAAGCCAGTAAGGCACAGCAAGTCGAGATGCTTCTTGCTGTACAGGTCTGCCGGAGGACTCGCAGACTTGTTCAGGCTGACATGACTAATTAAGAACCTGAAGTCATGGATGTCAGCAGCTGCATCGCCTTTGTGCAACAAAATGCATTAGGTCCAATTAGAGAGTTATTGCAAATTACCAGCCATGCTGAACATTATTTACAGGGTAAAAAAAAAAGATAATTTTACCATTTTTGACTTGTGTTTTTACTTGAATCCATTACAGTGTGCAGACTGAAATGTATTAGGTGTACAGTAAAACTCAAAAACCTTTAACAAATATGACAGGTGCATTCTCTTTTCTTCAGGCTATCGGTGTATAAGAACTGTACCCGAATCCGAAATACAAAATTGAGCTCTGAGAAAGCTCTTATCAAAATACGTTCTGCACTAGAAACGCGAGTAAGAGTTCAATTTTATATCTAAAAGGTATCACTGCTTGGTTAAGTTAAAGAAATTACAGCAAGATGTTGTGCATTAATGTTTTGTGCAGAAAGTTGCAAAACAGGATTTCATAAGCCCAAAGAAAGAGAACAAACTGAAGTTAAATGTAAGAAAATTTCTCTACTTTTTTATGATTCTTATATATCAATAGTCAATATCAAATACAAGTGAAAGATATGGAATTCTGTCAAGGAAAAAGAACAGCAGTCCTTAATCACAATCAGATATGATTCTTGAGAAATCACATAAACTGATTTCCCCAGAGGGGTATAAATGTTCCCGTTATTTGACAAAGATGGGGAATCTTTCTCATTTTTTTTGCCTGACACAATTAAACTCCTCTTTAACAGCAACAATGAATTATCTGAATGTTCCAATTGGGACAGATGAAGTGTGTGTGCTAATGGAGCAAATTCCTAAAATATTTCATTTAAAATAAAAGAATGTGATGTGAAAAACAAGTTTGGCCAAGATTAATATAATTATTTTAACTAAAAAATAACACAGTAGTTGTAGGTTAGTGTTACAGAGGTTTTTCAGATATTTCCTATTATGTATTTATTCTATTAGGTAATCAATAAAAAAAAGTATTTACAAATTATTTATATACTGTACAGTGCTCAATCGCTGCTACCTGTGATTGACCAGTGCTACCAATGAACCTCTCTTAACAGGTCAATCAAAATAATTTCATGAAGCAGTTTCATACATGAAGTAGATGTTCTTGTTTATTTCTTTGAAAGCACATTGACAGGTCAGGCCTTTTTCTAACAGATCGACATTAAGGTATTTCATTTTAATTATTATTAGTGTAAAGATGTTAAGTGGTTACTAGTTCTTGTGAAAAGCAGAGGTCTAAAGCTCACAGACTAAAACTGTTAGCACTTGGTTCACCTGAGATGGAATACCTTTCACAAAAGCAGTTCAGAAACGTACACTAGTGAAACCCAGGATTAAAATGTGATGATAACCTTTGTAAAATCAGTTAAATGAAGGAAAGGCTATCAACTTAGCAACACAGCGATACATTCTTCATGAACATAATAAACTTAAAAACATTTTTAAATATGTGGTGATATATTTCTACAAAGCAGAAATTAAAAATGAAGTTTTGTTTACAGGAAGCTACTGTTTATTTAACAAAAATTGCGATATATTCACAACGTTGGTTCTGTGGTTATGCATATAATGTGCATGGATCAATTCGGACATCTTCAAGGTGTAAATATTTGAGAAATATAAAATATTCAATAGTTAACGTTAAAGCTACATTATTAGAACTAAAATAGTTTAGATTTCATAACCTGTCAGGTGTTATTCCTCCATGCTAAAAATAAAACGAAAAATATTTACCTGAATGTCAAGACAAATTCAGCATGGAGTTTCCCCACGTTTTCCCTGCAGGTTTTGTTAACTATTGAATGAACCGAAATGGAAGATATCTGGAAAGACCTCAGGTGCTCAATAATGCTGCAGGTGTTACTGCCGGGCTCTCGGGGGTCCCAAGGTAATGGTATTATTTATGAACAAAAGAAAAACAAGACCTTTTATTTCGTGTACCGAAAAGCATCTTAACGCACCGTACGAACCAAACAATCGGTTTTTTAAATAGATTTACTGAACACATAAGGCCTTTTCGGCAAAACATATGTCTTAAATTGTTTGCTATTTTTTACGGTTCAACCCAAATGCTGCCTATAAAAATCAGGTAATCTGCTGAAGTTACCTGCCATGCCCTAGATTTTATGCTTTACTTCTTGGGATATATACTGTATATGAATAAACGTGCTAAACCAGTCTTATAACTGAAAACCCATAACTAAAACACGAGATTACACATAACATAAGTTAATTTTAGTTTCATGATTTAGTTTTTCCAGCTACCAGCGCTCTATTTTATGAACTACCCGAAAACGATCAGATTTTATTTCTTTTTCCTGCGGCTGAGAGCGGAATGCAGACATTTTAGCTGGCTTAAAATTCCAAACTTGAGCTCGCTATGCAAAATGAATGCAGACATGGAGGTTCACGCTCTTTATCGCTTTCGTATTTTATTTCTACATTTAATTGCTCTTTCCATGAATCGCCACGTCCCTAACACGACCCGTAAATGAGACGATTGTTAGTGACCTGCAGAAGAAAGAGACAGCTTACTTAGGACCTGTAACTTAATAAATATTACGCCGTAAACCGCGATATGGCCACCTCTAGTGAGACTCGCAATGCAGTGTTCACATTTCAGATATATACTTTGAATATCCGCACAAAATTCAAGCCATGGGCTTATTGAAAGACACCCAAAAGCTATGACTGTTTACCTGTGCGAGTTGCATATCACGCGAAACGTGATCCCTTCATTTCTGTGTCGGGATGGCGTTTACCTGCAGAGCTCGTCTCCCATGCAGCTGTAGTGTAGGAGACTCCGGGCTCGATTTTGCCTGTATCCCACAGATGCAGATGCAACAGCGAACACCGTGGCCCGGCTAGGACAGCCCAGTTCAGCGGCATTAAAGGCAAGAAATGTTGCTAAGTTGCCTTACACTCCGGGGAGCTAATTAAACTGAGCTGCTCTGAGAAGTACGACACCACTGTGGATGGACATGCAGATCCCTTTTGCAAAAGTACTCAAAACGGATTCCTGGATGGCTGTAGAACTATTTCCAAGCCACCTGCAGGGGCCGAAGGAGCTTCTGCAAAAGGGGGAAAGGGAAGGCTAGCCTACGACAGCAGTGGGTCAGAATTATCATTAAATATAATACAGTCCGCTTCAGCAGCTCAACCCATTCGCTTAGAATAGTGCATTCTGCGTGTGGGTGTGTAGAAGACTAAAACGCTCCTCTGCACACCGCGTATAAAAGTGATGTTTAGAATTTAAATCTACTTTAAATTATTTACGCTTAATATTAAAATTTACGATTGCAATTATTTGTATATTAAAAACCCGAGCACACAATTTTTACAAAGTACAGCACACGAAAACAGAAATAGGTCATTGTTAAATCCTCACTCCTGTAGATTTTATAATGCACACACGTAGACTTACAGCAGCTCGGGCCCAAACATCTGGACGAATGAGTCTCATTAACACGGCAAACCCTCTTGTAGTAGTATTTTTAAATTACAGATAGGCAATAAAAGCATAAACACGCAGTACGTGCACTGCAATTACACATTAAAGCATTGTTTAAAAGAATATTATTATTTTTCAGTCTTTTTTTCAGGTGGAAATCGCTCAGATAATAAATACATAATGTATTAATGTAGTAAAAATGTCATAGATTTACGATTCTATTTCAAATTAGTTTTATTCTCAGTTTAAGACTTACGCGTCTTTTATATCCCTTCCAAATTATAATAATGTGAATTTCTGTCCATAAGAAAGTAAAACAATGTCCATTTATTCACTTGTTTGTATTGAACGCAGTGAACTTTCCTGCGGTAGGAAAATTATATCGTAAAAAAAAACAAAAGTTATATTTTGAAACATTGACAATGTTCGACTTGTTGTGTGAATATGTTATAATATACATACATACTGTATTATATTTACTTAATAAAATATGTATAGTGTTACCAGAAATTATACATAAAGCATATATACAGATATATATTATAGTTAATAAAAAATGTGATAAATCACTCCCGTCACTCGTTAATGTGCAGTTTTCGCATAGCCATCTTTTTACCGACAGAATCGTCACATATGAACTTTACACTGGAGTCTTGAGGTTCCAGGAAAATATTTGTTTCTTTGATTTTTCAAATCGGTTATTTAAAAAATCCCCTTTTATTCCACAAAGGATTAAACATTATTATTAAACATAACTGAAAAAGTACCTGCTACATTTCAGCACTGTTTATAGCCCATTCGTTACAATACTACAATCCCTACATTTTATCGATAGCTAGCTGAATGAGACTCGAGCATCCTCACCAAACACTTTCTACTTCAGTAAGAAATGATTTTGTACCATGAGTACATCCAATTCCTTTGCCCTGATCTCCTGAATTTTCGTAATTGGACTTAGGTCTGTCATGATGAAAACCTTGATTAATTAAAGATTTCTGTATGCAGTCTTGTTATTATCTACTTGTTTAGTCAAGAAGCCAAGGATCAGTTCTGCAAGGTCTCCCCATTCCAAATTCATCACAGACTCCCCCCACCCCCACCAGGGGAAAGAAGAAGACCTTGTGTGCTTTAATTTCCAAGGTTATGGTTATAATGAGTAATCTCTGGAGATGCCCAGGGGTGCGAGCTTTGGTAATAGTGTAAGTGTAAAAATTATAGTGTACACCCTCTGCAGAAAACTGCCCTGAGAACTGACATTAGACTCTGAGAATTTAAAGGCATTGGCCTTTTCTGTGCAACAACTTTTATAATACAGTAGTTCACTCTTACTTGAAAAACAGTCAAAACCTTGCCAAATATTATTTATTGCTTAAATTGCATGTGATGTTGTGTTGTGATAAAGGACTTAATTTCTTCTCTAAATCCTTAAAAAGTACAGCTAACATAAAAACAGCACAATACAAGCAAACAGTACCACGGGGCTCTTTCTTCAGACAGGGACAGGCTCTCTTTACTGTCCCTCTTGCACTTGTTAGAGAACTGCTTTTGTTTGCTTTTGGTTGTTTAAAGATCTGTGGGCTCTACAGGCCTACAAACAAAAGAACAATAGGTAGAAGATAGCATAGAAAAAATCCCAACAGCGTTTTACAGACGGGCAATTGAATGTACAGAAATCATTTATATTTCTCAATTGCCATGACTGGCAATTATATTTTAATTGGCCCTCCGAACATTTCCAGGATTACAACTTTTTTTTCTTAAGGACGATGTTCGACTTTGATATCACCGGTGATGGCGGAAATCTGACTGTAATTAATTAAATTAATTAATCTAAACCGTAATGGATGCACAGTATTTGAGAACATTTTCAAAGGTCTTAAAGAAAAGCTACGCCCAAGCGTGTGGCTGGAGACTGTTCAAACATAGCTACACTTGTCACATAGGCCTAAACCGCACGATTCGGCAAGCACGGCGGACTCTGTTGCTTTGTAGCTTACTGTATTAAGCACATTTCACCGACTTTTGTTCCGAAACGAAACAGAAAACAACTATTAGAGTAAAAATATATTCTCATTATATGCAATTTGGTTTAGTTTTTATATCAATGTTTTAAGATACTACATAATTATAGCTATTTCGTGGTCCATTTGTTACTAACAATGTTGTTAACGTTTCTGGCGGAAACGTCAAAAACGTTTTATTTTTAGTAGGATCTCCCCGTATTTTAATAACATTTTGATCTCATTGTGAGTAATGTTAAATAATTTAGATAAAAAACTGCAATATGAAAAAAACGTTAATAGAAACTCAATTAGCAAATATATTTAAATGTCTTATTTCGATTCCTTAATATTACATGTGACATATTAAACCAAGCAGGGACGCTTATAAAAGTTATTTAGAAAGTGTACCATGACTTCATGAACATTTTAACGCATAACTATTTATATAAATAAACCTTTCTTTAGAAAATAGCATGTCAACATCTTCATTTGCGTAACGCCAAAGGCCTTTTTATAACCGATGAATGATGTATCAGCAAAGACCAGCAAACATCCGAGAATCCTGCTGTCACACATGAAGCGTAACCTTCTTCTGACACATTTCGTCCATCTTCAAGAGACATTGTGAGAAAGTCACTGAGGAACCGAGTGCGCACTGACACCCGGAAAATAACAGCAACCCTGACGTATCACTAAGCTGTCCTGCATCATCTTAATTACACGTTTTCACCCCTAATTTGTGATTCCGTGTCATGGTTTAGCGCTACAGGTCGTTTTCGCACTGAAAGTGGCAGTCAAACGCGTCTACGATGAAGCATACCCTTCCTGTATTCTAGGATTTACAATGCTGAGGTTGACATTGTGGAATAATCTAGCGTGATGTCTGTATTGTAATGCATTTCCTTCGTTAAACATTCCAAGAAAACGACTCAACCTTCAGAAAATACATTAAACTTTTCTGTCTAGAACTATAGACCTGACTGACACCTGCATCGTGTAATTGCTCTTCAGCTGTTGTCTGGTTGAATTTGCAAATCGATTCTGTCCAGGTTTAGAACAGAAAATCACCGTTTCTCCATTTATTCCATTATAGTAAAACTCGGATAATACCGCACTCTTCCTACCTCCATATGACGTCATAATATTCACCTGGGCTTCTCCTCAGACTGTTCTGCAAGTTCAAGCCTGTTATTACATGCCGGTACTAAATATTTCGAATTTGTTTCGATTTATTAACAAAAATTAACAATAATTCATTGAAACAAAAATAACTTTCTGGGAAAAAAATAGTCAAATGTGATATTAGTACTGCACAAACTAGGGCTATATGACTTCATAGAATCACAACACGGCATAGGGCCTAGGGACCCAATTTGGCAACTGTCAAGTATAAATTAGAAAACAAAACATTTGTAAAAATGTAAATCCACAATGAAGTTGAATTTCTGTGACATCAAGACTACGTGAAGCCTCTGAGGCAGTTTTAATGTGAACTAAAGAATCTTACACAGAAACAATAATTAAAAAAAAACATTTCACATTTTAAAAAGTCTTACCATTTTATTTGCAATGATTTAAATACAAAGAATATATGCTATATTTTCCATTTACAATGACATTTTTTGTAAACAAAAATTGGCTGATAGTTTAACATTGGGTAATAATTTGGCCTGTAATGATTAAGAATAAAAGGACAGTATGTAGCTGATTTATTGAATTCACTGCAGTTTTAACACAGCATGTTAACTAATGCTACATTCTTGCAGATTAATACTTAAACACAGTAATTCTCTTCTAGGTCTTAGTTTTGATGGAAACTTAGTTGATGTAAAGTTTGGTGTTTTTATAACTTAACATGCAGCCCTATTTTAAACCTTTTTCCTCGTACAGGACACAATGGTTATACTGGTTAAAAAAAACAATCTATGCTAAAAATAACTGTTTATTTATGCCCACCAGAGAACTACTGAATACACAGATCAGTCATCCATTGATGTCTGCAAGAGCTAATATAATAAGTAACGAACAAAAACAACTGAAAGTGGTTTAAAGTAATCACACACAAAAGCAGGATTTTCATGAGCGCACTTGTAAATTTAGATGGTGTAATTTCAAGGTTAGGCACTCAAAATCCAATCAGTCTGAAAGCGAGTGTGCTATTAATCACAGGGAACCACAAGAAGTTGCTTACAACTGCCAGGGCCCTGATTTTCTTATTTTTTATACATTACTGTACTCCTTTAATTGCTCCTTCACTCCTCGCTGGTCTGATTTCATTACACTGTCAATGAAGTGAACTGGAGAGCTGCCCGAAGACTGAACAGGGCGTACACGGTTCTGTCCGTTTTTCTGGAGATCTAGTCCACATGCTTTTGCTTTTCTACTAGGACTTTTTTTAGGCTTCAGTTCAGTGATCATTTCAAAGAAGGTATGTATTAACCTTTAGGGCAGGAGATTTCCAGACCGGTTCTCACCAAAGCCCATATCCAGTAAGTCTTCTAAAACCCCCTACTTCACCCATTTAGCCTGAGGACACGTAAAACTTACTGATCAGTTAAATACAGATTTTATTCACCTAACCATGGTTCAAGAGCTTAAGAGCTGAGAGGACAGTGTTGTTCAAAAGATAAGTGAACTATTTCAATTAGACAGCTGCTTCAGGGTACCAAATCAAGGGAGGATTTGACAGGTCCATCCTAAAGAGCTCAAAACATTTTGGCCAGAACAACTGCCGTATCTGAAAAACAGAATATTGTTGGAACAGCACATTAGCAAACAGAGCTGTATTTTTCCCCATCTCACTCCTTCTACTAATTTATTTGAGACCCTCCTTCTTCTAGACTTTCTTCCACCTTGAAATAGAAGCCTTTCTCAGACACGTTAGAATAATTCAACAGAATACTTTCTGAAATTCTGAAAATAATAAGTGCAGTTTCTCATTTTTAATTCTCTAGTCAGATGTAAGCCTTGACCTCCCCTTGTCGCTGTGTTTATTGTGTAACCTCACAGTACCCGTAACCAATCTTATCGAATATTGTCACTACTAAGCAGAAAGTCCACACCAAAATGGATTCCTGAAAAATGAAAAATGTTAAACTGGATTCAAATAATTTCTCACCTCAAAATAAAAATACTTTTATTTTTTTTCCCCCCGAGATACTGCATTCTACAATTGATCTACTAAATTTAAAGCATTACAACCCTGTTACAAAATAAGGCTTTCGAGATACAGGGACCAACTGGAATGTACCATGAAAATATGCCACACTGACCTCCGTGCATTTAAAACACATCTTCAAAGCCCTTTGTTTTTATCTTTGTACATTATGTTGAGTAAAGATGCCCTAAAAAAACAACCTGTACAATTTTATTGCACATTGGAAACACATTAACCTTTGCTCAAAACCCTGCAACGTGCCCTTGTTTTATAACTTTACAGAGATTAAAACAGAAGATCAAAAGCATTGTATACAATGCTGAATCTGAGGCCATCTAACTTGGCTTTCAACAGCAGTCCCACTGTTTATTTTTTCTGTCATCTTGTACTGAAAATATAATTTCAGTAAAGCAAACAAAGACAGTGTGAGTGTGAGGCTGACTGTGGGAGAATGGGAATCACACTTTTCAGTTTCAAAATATTCAAAACTGTAAGGATTCCAAAGCAAGGGGGACCAACAGTGTTGCAGTTTCTTAGCATTCATTCCTAAGGAATGAACACAGTGTGCATGCAGGCGAGGAGACCTGGAACCCCTTATTATAAAAGACGGAGCCAGATGATCAAAGCTACAATGACTCTTAGTGGACTAAATCTGGAAAAAAAAACTAAGCCTGTTGTCCCATCATTACTGTCTGATAACGTCTTCTGGATAAAATGACTTAAACAGATCTAAAGTCTGCTGTATGGCAAGTGCTAGCACGGAGCTGAGGAAAAAAAAAACACTTTGCTAAACCCCATTAGCCAGGGCTTCCCATTTATTAAACCGTACAAATTATTTTTTTTAAAATGTGCTGCATTACAAAAGCAATTAAAACCTTGAACCGGAGACCTGTAGGTGTTATTTTAAACATACATTTATTTCTACACTTTCAGAAGAAAGCCTGCGGAATTCTCAAGCACAACTGTGAGTTACTGTACACACAAACTACAAAATAAAGTACAATATAAGTAGTAAGGAGCCCCAATTTCCAGGCCAATTATTGTTTTATTTCATTATTTTTATTCCAACAAGAAAAAGCTCCTCGCCTCCCCTGCCCCCAGTTCCACACTAGAAACACGGTGACTGTAATTGCCAGTTTAGTCTTTGCAGTAGGTGGCCAGGAGCATCTCCCAAGCAGTGAAAGACAAGAACTCCCTGGTCCTTTTTAACATGAGCTGTATTCAACACCATTACACACACAACTACCAGCTGAAATTTCAGACCAGCTCAGAGTCAGCGCGTCTGTTCCACTTTCTTTTTTTAATTAAAAAAAAGGAAGAGAGAAACCAGGAGGCCTGTATTGACCTGTGTGCAAAAAAAATCATTCGATTTTCCCCGATCGGTTTGGCTGGCATTAACCAGAGGAAGCAGTCTGTGCCGGGGCAGCTGGGCTAGTCATTGTCTTCCTCGTCTTCCTCGCTCTCCTCGATGCCGTCGCTGTCCTCCTGGTCCTCCTCTTCCTCCTCCGTCTCGGGGATGTCCCACTGCGGGTGGTTGTCCAGCATCTGTTTGGCCTCGTGGACCTCCAGCTACAGCACCAGACAGAGGGTCAGACACGAGGCCACAGGATAGGCCTCACTCAGCTGAACACAGCCTAAATCCCAATTTCTTGACATTTTCACCAAATCAAACCCTGCAAGTACGCTCGTCTATTAAGGACCTGTTGTAGCCATGTGCTCACTCTGCCAAATCATTTTAAGCAAATTCAAACCACAATCAAAGGGTAACATTTCTTCTCTGTGTTATATAGACCGTCACGCAGACTAATATATATATGTGCCAAGTGCTGTTGCTGAGTACTTTTTACTTTAAATACAATAATTATTGATGGCCACCGAGTCCTGTCACACAAATAAAACAAGGTATATGCAGGACATTTAGAGCGTTCTGATCTGTGACAATAGCAATAACCAGACTTATTATTCAGTTCTACACAGGATATTTAGCATTTTTTTTATTCTACTTGAGAGAAAATGGCTCTTTGTGATTGTTTAATGAAGAAACATTTCACTTCCAAAACCTACATCCGAAGAACTGACAAGGCACTCACCTTTAATGGCTTTATCTGATCTAAACCCATGTAGGAATCGGATCTCAGAATCACAGAATACTGATAGTTTCCAGTTTTTGATGGTGCAGGGAATTTCAATTCAACCTTTAAAGAAGCAAAGACACAGTTAACGCTGGAGGGAAAAAAACAAAGTCTTATTTGATAATATATTATTCAAACATAATATGGTTATAAAACCATAAGTATATAAAATATCAACACTTTGAAAAAGATAACTTAAAAACAACTCAAAGCATAGCACAATCAAATGTTT